CACGCGCACCTGCACCGGACCCCTCCAAGTCCTGGCCTTCGTGTCTCTGTCTTTACCTAGGGGCGTAACGGCTGGAGGAAATCATGGTGTTCGCTCCAGGTACACCCGCACCTTGCTTTTCCACTAGGCGTCCAGGCGGGGAATGGGGAAGCGAAGGGAGAGAGTAGGGAGGGAAGGCCTTTACCTTAATGCCCATCTGCGCGTTTCGGAGTTGGAGTCTGTGAGAGCGGGGCGAGAGAGTGCCCCTGTGCGGAGTCTTCATCCCTCTCCCCAGCCCTGCACCATTTATCCTCTAACTATCTCCAGCCATCGTCCCGTCGCTGTTCTTCCTGCATAGCTCCTGCACACCCCATGCGAGCTCAGGCACCTTGAGAACTGGCACCTTCGTCCGCCGCACAGGCGCCTGCGTGCGCAGGAGGGTGGAGACCCGGGGCAAAGAGTAGTGGGCTTCGGGCTACTTCGGTGGGAATCTCCTTCACTGAACTTCCCTCTCCATAGAAGTGCAAAGTGACCCGGTCCCTCCTGACCTCCCGAGGAGAGAAGTGGGTGAAGCACAGGGGAGGGGAGTGGGGCGCAGGGCAGAAGAGCGATGCTCCGTAAGGAATTAGCTCTGAAACTCTGGCCAGCGGAAGGCTGCAGCACAGAGGCTGCTATTGCGACGTCGCGGGCCGTTGCAGTGTCTTTTGGAAGCTGGCGGTGAAAGACTTTGGTCTCTTTGCTGCTATTTGTGGCTACAAGTTGGGGAAGTCAGATTTGTCTGCTTTGGGCTGGCTTACCAGCGTGTGCGTGTGTGTATGAAGTCGTGGGTGTGTGTTTCAGATGAGGTCAGGAGGAGTTAGGGAAAGCTTGGCCCTTGTTAACATACGAAGCCCTCTCTAGGGGTAGATACAAACTCTCACCCCCCCCCCCTTTTTAAATTCCAGCCTCCACTTCATTAATGATTGCTGGGGGAAAAGGGGGAGTAGGGGAAAGATTAGCGGGGTATGGAACTCTTTAACTGTGTCATAGTTTAATCTGAAAGGTTGGTTTGCATTTGCTGTGGCCATGGACCTCAGAGATCTGGGGAGGGAAGGTATTTTTAAAAGGGAAGCATTGAGTCTGGGCTTCAAAAAATTCCTTAGGAAAACTGAGCAGAGGAAGTTGCGATCCCTCCCCCACAAATTAGGATGTTAGCTGGGAAGGCAGGGAAGCGTTTCTGTCAGTTTTGATACTCACCACATCTGTGACTCAGAAGAACAAATGACTTAGAGAAAAGCCCATGAGCATCTCTCCGCCCCGCCCCCTTCCCCCCCAAAATAAATAAATAAAGGGAAGAAAGTGTTCTGCTTAGTGAAGGACATTCAGTCAACCCAGGTTCTGTGAAGCTGGAAAACAACAGCTCTTTGATGCATATGTAAATTACTTAGCACTTCATAAAGCACTTTCATGCCCTTAACTCATTTGATCTTTATATTACCCTCTGGAGTAAACAGTATCACCCCTATTTTACTACCCTCAGGGAGGCTGATTCCAGATAGTTTTGGACCTCAGATTCCTATACCTCAAAGCCTATCTCCCTGAAAAAAATGTCTCACCAGACCCAGGGATAGCTGCTTTTTGGTTCAAGGTCAGATGTAGCCAAGGGGAAGTATCCTTCCACTTCCAAGGTGGGGGATGGGCTGGTGTCCAGAGTTAGGGTTATTGGATGATGCTGACTTGGCATTTTCTAAAAGCACTGTGGGTGAAGGATTGTGTAATGAGCAGTGGGAAATTTCTAGAGTTGATTGATTTGGCTTAAAAGTAGCCCACTATTTGGATTGGGCTTTACTTTTCCGTTTTTCTTCTAAATTTTGTATTCATTTTTTTTCCCCCTATGGAGAAAGTATAAGTTATTTATAACTGTCAGAGGCGGCATAAATTGACCTGGATAAGATATGTGAAACACTTCTTTGAGTAATTACTTCATTATTGAGTTTCTCTTGAAAAATCACAAGCATTTGGGGGCAATAGGAAAGGGGTGATATAAATGTCAACTTATTTTCTCATCTACTGATCATATGTCTTCTAACTCATTTAGTGATATTGTTCTGAAAGAAAATCAGAACAATGAATTGTGTTTGAACTCTGCCAGCTTTTCAGCATTACAACCTCTATATCTGGGGATCCAGTTGTTTTGTACTAGACAAGGGAGATACCCCCACCTCTTTGTCCAAGCCAGCCTAATGCCCGGGAAGGGAATATGTAGTGATCATTCCAAAAGTCATAAAATGTGTTTGATAATCCAAGCTGAATAAAACTATAAATTAACAATGAGCTGTTTATAAAATTGAGTCAATGAATACTATGCACTTCAAAACCTAGTGTAGCTTTTTGAATTTTAGCAAAGGGGAATAAGAACCTTGAGGTCTGGTTCTGGTCTTGCCTCACGGATTGTTCATCCTTTGAATGTTTCTGCTGCCTTTTTGCTTACATTAAAGGCAAAAATAAAAAGTACAGAGATTCATGGAGCAAGTTTCAGTCCAGAAGCACAATGGAATGAGGACGGAATGGAAGAGGACTTTATATAACTCTAGCTAGAATTCACTCGTCATATAGTATGACATATTCTTATATTCTCTTGTTTAGGTTAGTTTACACATTGTAAACTACAGGGCTTAAGCTGGGCAGAGTCTTTGGGTGGTTTCTCAGTTTGCCCAGGGCAGACAATTCAGTTCTTCCCCCCCTTCTTATATCATTCATAGACTTTGTAATTTTAGAGGGTTTTAATTTTGTGCACACCAATTTTTAAAAACCTTAATGGTGAAGGGTCATGAAGACTAATCACTTAAGGATTCAGTTACCCGGAGCCTATCACTCATTTCTTCTTTCCTGTAAAGGAATCATATAAAATTAATAAGAGTTAAGTGAGGAATAAAGTATAAATACATTAATTTCTCTATAAGTATGATATATTCCTAAATACTGATTAAATAAACTAAGCTGGGGCACATGTCTGAGGCAAAAAGACCCCTTTTCCCAAGTCTCTTTTCTACTTCCTTTCCTAAGTCTCTTTTTCTAAGTCTCTTTTCTACTCCTCCTTCCTTCCCTCAGCCCCAGTCTGAAGATGAAATCTTTCTTTCTGGAGCAATATGAGAAGATTTAGAAACATACCAACATAGCTAAAGGAAAGTAGATGACACAACCAATATGGAAAAATATTTTGGCTCTGTGCATAGCACTAAATGGACCCATGTTAGTCTGTGGCTGTACAAAAACTTCCATTTGGGAGAAACAAAAAGTTCTGGAAGAAGATGTCTGGACTTCTCATTCTGTGCTATTGGTTTTGTAGGGAATTCATGGGGAATAAAAATGGTATAATTGTAAGGAATTAGACAGCCAGTATCTTGACTTCTAAGATTAAAACAATAGTTCTAGAGAGTGCTATCAAAATATTTAAGAAAATCTTATTTATTATAAGTTAATTATAGTATTTATTTATTTTTGCATCCTCACCTGAGGATATTTTTGCATTGATTTTTAGAGACAGTGGAAGAGAGAGGGAAAGACAGAGAGAAATATCAATGTGAGAGAAACACATCTATTGGTTGCCTCCTGCATGTGCCCTGACAAGGGCCAGGGCCGGGGCCGGGGAGGAGCCTACAACCCAACTGAGGTATGTGCCCTTGACCAGAATCCAACCCGAAGCCCTTTGGTCTGCAGACTGACGTTCTATCTACTGAACCAAACTAGCTAGGGCAGCTTTTACTGGTATTTATTTATGTAAACCAATTCTTGAAAAATCAATCTGTAAATTATATAGCAGATTGTCTTAACTCTAAGGTATTTTTTACTTTTATTAATTTATTATTTAAAAATTATATCCAGTTAAGTTGACTCTTTTGGTGTACAGTTCTATGAATTTTAACATATGGATACCACTATTTATGTTACCTTTTCCCTCTTCTTCCTCCTCCAACCCCCTTTCCTTCTGGCAATCACCATACTGTTGCCTATGTCTTAATCCCTCCACCTTTTCACCCAGTGCCCCAACCTCTCTCCCCTCTGATAGCTGTCAGTCTGTTCTATGTATCTATGAGTCTGTTTCTATTTTATTTGTTAACTTATTTTGTTAATTAGATTCCACACATAAGTGAAGTCATATGATATTTGTCTTTATCTGAACACTTACTTCATTTAGCAAAATACTCTCCAGGACCATCCATGCTGTTGCAAAAGGTTAAATTTCCTTCTTTTTTACAGCTGAGTGGTATTCCACTGTGTAAATGTACCACAGCCTTTTTAGCTACTCATCTACTGCAGGGCAACTGGGCTGCTTCCAAATCTTGGCCATTGTAAATAACACGACAGTGAACGTAGGGGTGCATATGTTCTTTAGAATTAGTGTTTCAGGTTTCTTCTGATATATTCCTAGAAGTGGGATCACAGGGTCAAAAGGCAGTTCCATTAAAAGTAAAAAATTAATTGAAGAAACCCCATACTGCATTCCATAATGGCGGCACCAGTCTGCATTCCTACCAACAGTGCAGGAGGGGTCCCTTTTCTCCACATCCTCCCAACACTTGTTTGTTGATTTATGGATGATAGTTATCCTGACAGGCATGAGGTTTTAATTTGCATTTCTCTGATGATTAGTGATGCTGAGCATATTTTTATATGACTGTTGGCCATCTGTATGTCCTCTTCAGAGAAGTGTCTATTCAGGTCCTTTGGCCATTATTTAATTGTGATTTACTTATTTATTTATTTATTTAGTGTTGAGTTGTGTAAATTTTGGAAATTGACCCCTGATCAGATGTATCATTGTAAGATATGTTCTTCCATTCAGTGGGTTGTCTTTTCATTTTGTTGATGATTTCTTTTGCTATGCAAAAAGCTTTTTAGTTTGGTGTAGTCCCATTTGTTTATTTTTTTGTGTTTTTTTCCCCTTGCCTGAGGAGATATGTCTGAAAAAAAATTGCTATAAGAAATGTCTGAGATTTTACTGCCTATAATTTCTTCTAGGATTGTTATGGCTTCATGACTTACATTTATACTAGTAAGTCTTTAATCCCCTCTGGCAATCACTGAGTCTGCTGGCTGTGTCTAAGAGCCTATTTTAGCTTTGTTTATTTTCTTCTTTA